TCTCTCTCTCTCTCTCTCTCTCTCTCTCTCTCATTCTCACTCTCTCTCAGTCTCTCTATGGCCGATGATCTCTCTTTTAGCTTCAATCTGGTTCATCGCACGTGAAACGTGTCGGCGAGAATTTACTTTCGTAAAAGTGAATATTTCGGCTGAAACGCATCCGGCTGAGGGAACCCCAGATCTCGTCAAAGCGATGGCGAGATTCTTATCTAGAAGATGCGATCCGCCGATGGCTTCGTCCTAGAGACGTCTTTATCCGCTTCTGGGCGCTCCGTTTCCTAACAAATAACATGGAAGGAGTGACGGTGTTTAATTCTCCCTGATCTTTACGATTTTCCAGGTTTTTGAATACCTTATCGATTTTATCGATACTTCCTCGTTCTTACTTATTTGTTATTGTTAAAAATGGTGCACTTGTATTACAATGCTAAATTTCTGCTTTCTTTGTCGATTTTCAAAAAGTGCAGGGGATAAACGACGATCGGGCAAGGCCTGTAAGTGCGAAGAAAAGAGTAAGAGCTAGCAGTTTCGAGCGCCCTTGCTTTTCTATTCTAAAACTAAATGAATATTCCCTTAGATTTTCATATTTACATTTACCGCGCTGCACAAATGTTCGAATGTTGGTATTCCATGTTGTTTGACAAGCCACGGATTCCATCAGCTTTCAAATTAAGTTTTGAATAACGTTTGCACATTGGAATCATCGTACATTCCAAGCAGTAGTTCCATTTCCACTGAAAAGCTAATAATCGAAGTTGTCGTTGTAATTATGCGTAACGGTCGATGGGGAGCGAACATCGGACGAATAAATTTGATTTTTCGACGTAAAGCAATGCGAGACGAGTTATAACGTACATATTACAATAATGTTTGGCCAAAGTTAAAAGAGAATCGAGACTACTTCAGTAGCCCGAAAAAAGAATGAAGAAAAAAAAGTTTCACGTCACCCTACGCCAATGGCAAGCGGTTGATGTCACCGTGGCCGTTCATAGCAAGGATAATAGAGTCCGCGACTTTAATGGACTCGCTAATCCTCTTGCCAGTTTGTTGGAGTAAGGGCATCGCCCATACACAAGCCTCGCAGACGCATCACTGTCAATACGAGCAAAAACTCCGGCTTCGCAGTCCCTCACCCCACCCCCTCCCCGGTACACTTTCATCCCCTAATATACGTGTTTTCTCTTCGCACTCTTACGCATATGTTCCACATTTCTTTTTCTATCAACTCGTTACTAGTTCGCTTTATCTCTTTCGCCCTCGCGTTCTCTATTCTTCGATACGTTTCATTACATTTATTCCGTTACTCGATAATGGGTTGAAATTAAGTTTTGTCGTAAAATGTATTTTCAAGTATGACCCGTTCAAGTTCGCTCCTAATGGCCATCGTCGTCTAAGCGCTGTTTTTACAAATTACGCTCGGCAAGGAGAATCGATTAATGTGCATTTTCAGGATCTTGACAATGCTCCGATTAACAAATACACGTTCCCGTAAAACTTAATTCGTAAACGTAAAATTAGCCAAATTAGACAATAATGTCGCTAACGTTAATTTAGTGAGATTTGAATTGTATAGTCTTTCATTCACATTCATGAACTTAATTATTTACATCAACTTAAACATATCTACCAAGCTGTAAAAAAAAATTATTAATGCACAAAACTTCCTAAAATCACGTCATAAAGGATAATCATGTTAAAATTCTACGGATTGCTCATCTCAACGAAAGTTTGTGTGATATTATAAATAGTACATATAAATTGTTGGTTAAATTTGCATAAATTTTTTTAAATATAATCCAGCTCTTCATCAATAACAATATCAATTATGTGGCATTCAAATAGTTACTTTTATCAATCACATAGAACTACACAATCAATTTTAAACGTGCATACGATGCATACGACTATTGCGGTTTACTTCAGCATTCAATGGGTGAATATGTCGCGTAGGGGCAAACACCAAAACCGAAATTGTAATTTCACATACACTACGCTAAGTGCGCGCCTGTGTATGTCTGTGTGTCTCGCTCACTCGCTCACTCGCTCACTCTCTCTCTCTCTCTCTCTCTCTCCTTCTATTACTTATTTACCGGGTTAAATACGATGAAGCGCATGCTCATATATACTCGTGTAGACTAAGTTAGGAAAGTGCGTGTCGCATCGAGGGGGTTGTACCTTTGGGAGGACGATAGAGAGCATCGCCAGGCCGAGATACGCCCCCTTGTGTGCAACCACCGGTGCGATGATACCTTGATTTCTCGAGTGACATATTAAGCACCCTCTCACAACTGAGTTCTCGGTGCGCCCGCGCGATATTGCACGCCAAAAAAGGAGAGGGAAGCCGGGAGATTAGGCGCAGCTGTGCTTGGCGCGTCTTTGTGCAGGGATGGACTTTGTTTGACACAACGAGTAAAAGTAGATTGAGAGAGAGAGAAAGAGAGGGGGGGGGAGAGAGAGAGAGAGAGAGAGAGAGAGAGAGAGAGTAAGAACGAAAGGGAAGCATGCACGATGTCTTAGTGTTCTGCCCCTGAGCGAACTAATTTTGTTGACAAAACTTGTGAATATGAAGTTGAATCGTATCGATTAATTATGTGAGCTTCTTTTTTTTTTTTGTTTTTTTTTTGTTTTTTATAAGTGCACTATGATCCTTTAAATTAAGGAGGGATAAAAGATCAGACTAATCGTTATTTCTGTCGAATGTTTTATTTATTTTCACTAATCTTGTTTTCTTAATTGAGCTTTTCTGGTTCGCTCGTAATAAAAATAATTCAATGTACATTAAAATACTTGTTATACCGCAAATTAATAATAATACCTTGACATTTACAATGACCGATGCGGTGATTTAGTTCGTCGTAAACAACAAAAGGAAATAGAAATCATGTTTTATCGCATTATTTCTTAGTCGGTGGGTGTTGTTTATTGAGAACATGTGTCTTAACCTGGAAAAAAAAAATAGATATTTCGTTAGTTTAATGTCAGTTTGAAAAGAACGTAACATTTGTAGTTTCGTATTAAAAAATCGATTGGCCTTATAATAATAATGATATTCATCGTTGCAAACATTTATTAACCGAAGTTTGGAAAATAATATGTTTACCAGTAAAAACAGTAGTGAACGTACATAAATAAACCATGAGTATATCTTTCGCATAACCAAAATAATTTATAACCTTCTTGAAACATGATCGAGACATTGCCTTCGCATTGAAAAAACTTATTTGCGGGTAAGAAGCCGATGATAAATAATTATGCGATTTTTTGTCCGAAGTAGCAGTACAGTTTATAAAATATTAACCATTCAATTAACAACTGTGTTTAATATTAAGGAAAGGTAGGCGTCATATATAATCAACCGTATACGCCAATTAAAATCAACTTTCGTGGAATTTTATAGAATTTATGAATAGATGCTGAGAGAGGGTCCGAAGAGTAGAAAACTCTTCGTACCAGATCTACTTAAGATCCGCTACTTAGGAAGCGAATACGCGGAGTCGGAGGTGTTTTTCATTAAGGTCCTAGGATTCGCAAAGTTCAGCGTTAATACCATCGAGAGAAAAAAAAGGTCTCACCTTGGAAAGCTCGCTGGGACTCGATAATCTTTTGAATGTGTGGCGGCAGATTCTTGGGGAACTGAGATGGTCCAGCTTGTGGCTGCGCATGGTAGGGGGCGGGTGCGGGGGCCGGGACCTGATTAGTCGGCACCGTTTGTGGATTGTAGCGCTGCTTGTATTGGGGCGTGTAGGTATTCTGGGGCACTGGCCCAGGCTGCGGACTGGGCTGGGCCGGATAGACACCTTTGTACGTCGGCTGGGGCGGTGCTTGCCCATACTGGACCTTAAACATCGTGCGGGGCCTCGTTTATTCGTGGGGAGCGGTAACTTTCGACCGGGTGACATTAATTTTATTCTTTTCTGGCGTAAGACGATGGCTTATTCGACTCCGGTCTTCGGTTGGTAGGCCGAAAAGCAACAATAATCATTATTCAAGTGGAGACCATTGTAAATTAGTATAATAAATTAATGGGAAATAGTGATGTGAGAAATCTGCGACAAGGGCGATAAGTCGAATCGGTAGTGATAGTTTAATTGCAGAGAATTTATTTTTCAGCTTATCGATAATGACAAAAATAATGACAGGATAATCCTTAGAATAGAAATAGTATTATTTTGAATAATATAAAAATCTAATAAAAATAGAGTTCTTTATTATTTACAATAAATATTTAAGTTTTACGATAGGCCACTATTTGTAGTATAATTTTCTAAACCAAGAAATTATATTTGTAAACTTGTTTTGAGAAATTGTAATTACGTTGCTTAACAATCCAGTGCAACCGGATTCAAATACTTTTTAAAATGAATAAAAATTTTATAATACGTTAGGAAGGAGTGTTAATACGTGTAAATGCGAATTGATAAGAAATCAGACATTCTAATTAAGTGAACTCCAATGACTGTATTTAGACTTAATAATATAATAGCGTAAATAAATAAAATGAACAAGAAAATTTTAATTTTACTGACAGAAAAAAATACCCGAAAGCCATTGCTTTTTAATACTTTATAATGTTTACACTCGCGTTCAAAATATATGACAATCTTACATTATTCTTGTATACTTATTGATCAATGTTGTGATAGAAAATATCATCTTATTAAAGCATCGTAAGTAATCAAATGACTTGTCTAACAATTTATTAATACTATGTATTTCTCAATTATGTATTTGTATTAGAAACATCTTAAAGTGAAGTAATTCAAGTTTGATTATTCTCTCTATGGTATATTTTGTTTAAAATTTTCAATAGTACCGTTTAATTTATCTCGCTCGCTTTAGTTAATGAATTATGAAAATTAATTTATCTATTAAAATGTGATGAAATTTATAAGACTTCAGAACTTTATTAATATAAATTAATGTGAATGTTATATAATGTATCCAAGACATAGAGAAAATCGAAAATATTGTATCGGAATCGGAAACATTAATCGGATATATTAATCGCAATATTAATATAAATTATAATCTGAATTTTCATAATGAAAATTAATTCTTCATTGTGCCATCTGGCGTAAGCAATATTTGTGCAATAGAATAAAATTTTAGCAATATTAAACATAATCCCATCCATTCTTTTATAAAAATATATATTCTCGTTGGTAAAGGAATGGATCGGTCAAATATTTTTCAATAATGCCGTCTTGACGATGTGTAACGAAGCAGCTTTTGTATATTAAAAGAAGCGCATATAATACGTTGTTGCCTTACTTATTCGATAATTCAATACCGAATGCTTGGGTTCGTTTAGCGACTTGCGTTCCAATTTTCATGCAGTAGCGCGCGTCTTATGGAGATAGGAAATCGTAAAAGAAAGTCGAATGCGAATTATCCTGCGCGTTTAAATATTCTACTTCGTTAAGCCACTACTGGGTTGTATGATATATGATAAATATACGAAGAAATGATCGGAGACGCATGTCCGAAGGTGAAAACACAACGGGGGCCTTATTTCGATCTTGGTGCACTGACCTTGGGGGTGTACTGGTTTGTCTGGGCCTGGGGCACCTGCTGGTGTTGCGACGCCGTGGCTGCGTGTGGGCCAGCTGGTATCGGAGCGGGTTGCTGCTGGTGAGGGGCGGGGAGGTGCACCAGGGGCTCGCGAGCCTGCTGGGCCTGGAGGAGCTGCTTGATTCGATCCGGGGCCTCGTTGTACGGCCGGTAATTGTAGTTCTGGACGGGCACTTGCTGAGGTTGGGGCTGCTGGTGACCTTGACGCTTCACACGCACCTCACCTGCGGCACACCTCGTGTACTTATACTCGTGTCACGCAATTTCGGCATTACTCGCGGTGATTTGTCGTCTTAGGAGAGTTTCCGAAAGCTCGGTGAGAAGCTTCAAGAGCGTGTTCGGTATGCGTCAGAGTCTTGTAGGGGGTGGGGGTGGGGGGAGGTTGTTGAATAATGAATCGGTTATTACGAAGCGGTGTATATGTAATTGTAATTTGGCAAACGTTTAGCCGATTCAAAATGTAAAGTAGTAATCATTGATTCTTTGAAATCAAATGCGAATTACCGAAACATGCTTTAATATTAATGATTTAAGGGTATAATGAAATACAAATGAATACAATGAATTTCAAATTTATTGCCAAGTATTTACGATATGGGGTGTAGGACATACGGTTCATCCAAAACAACTTATTACAAAATGCCTTATTATGTTACACCAATAATTTCAAAATGGATTTTCATTTCCCTTTGAACCCTTTGTAATTTTAATATTAAAAATCATAATAACGGCAACTTACCGACTCTATCCGTGTAGATGCTTTGGCCTGCACAAGCAGAAAAGAAAAAAGAGCCTACGATCTGCAAAGTAAGGTAGTAATTGTTTGTGTTAAGATATTGTACAGATTTACTTATAGAAGAGATATTTATATAATAGTATAATTATATTATAATTAGAAAGTGAATATCGTTCATGCGGTTAAGTATATTATTTAAATCAATATAATTCATGGGTTTTTGAACTTTTATACTAGAGTTACTCGAACAAGCTTTAAAAATACTTATTTAAATTATCTTAAAATTCTTGTATTTTGCTGTAATAGACATTAACATTTACATTTTATTTGTGAAATTCATTATTTGAAAATTTTTTTAAATAAAATATATATTATCTATTATATTATATTAACCTATAGTGATCTATATTATTTTAAGAAATAAAATAATCTGCTAGAATAAAAATAAAATTTTAAATGTAAAAACCATGGACGAAGAATAATTTTTAATTTATTAATAGCAAATACTTTGTCAATTGTAATTGTTTTCAACTTCATTTACATAATATTATCTTACTTATTCGATAATTCATAATACGTTTGTTATTGCTTTAATAAAACTAAATACAATGTATAACGAAAAAGATGAGAGTACTCTTACATTGAAAATATATTTATATTCGTCGTAAAATTGTAATATAAATCGATTACAAACCAAATGACAGTCATTTTTAATTGTACTTTCTCATTTATACATTCTTCCTCAATCGTCGTTGTCCCTTCACACAGTCGTTACTAAGTTAAACGTAAATGATTTTAACCATTAGGCAATCGCTTATGAATAATGTTCAAAGATTTTATAAAACATTATCGTATAAAATCGTAAAAAAACTTGTATTATTTCACATATTACATTTTCATATTTTGGAAAAGATTCATATAACCACATAGCATTCATTGTTAATAGCATCATTATTTAATAAAACTGCAATTGTATACAAAATCCATTAGAATTCCGTTAGAAATCCATCCATTAGATTAAAAAATTAATTCCTTTATATTTATAATTTATAATTGAAAATGTCGTTTAATTAATGGAACGAGTATTACCTTATTATAAAAAAGGAAAGAAAAAAGTAATAATGATAAATAATAAAGTAAGCCAGTGTGGCAAAAAGACATCCATTTTGTTAAATTTATTATAATTTTAAAAGGCAATTTAATCGGCTTACGAACAATATATCCTTTATCCCTCGATTTAAAGGTCCGTACATGAAAAGCGGATCTGTGAAATAAGCCTCACTGTATAATAAACATAGCCCAGCCCACAAAGAAAGCAATTGTCTAAACAAGCCGAAGCTGCGAATACGACTTTTTCTCGAACTAGTAATAAGCTCGTTCCTGTGGGAGATGTAAAGTTGCAGTTGGTAAAATAGTAGGAGATACGCGACACTTACTAGGTACCACATAATGCTAGAAGATCGTTGCGTACGATGAGGATTTCGGAGGACGCCCGAAGAAACTGGCGGCCGCGTCGCTGGGCACTTCTATATGGGCTCGGCGCCGCCACCACCTTTTGCGCTTTCACGCTTCGCTCGCTCGACATGTTTTCCTCGCCTCACCCCACGGCGCCAGGATCACGTAACGACGGCGCACGAGCCCAGGAAGTGATCGGTTTCGTGAGAGAAATGTCAGCGAGCAGCCGAGCGCTCTCGATATAACTTTTGGTCGATTTCGTGGCGAGCGACGAGGGTCAGTTGGGAAGTTTGGCTGTTTACCAGGATGATTAGCCAACGCTTTTGTTCCCCTCGGTCAATTACGTCATAGTCCATACAATTCACCCGAGCACTCGTACCTTTTACCGTCAATCTAATTTCGCAAATCATGCCAAACACCAAGCTAATCGTTTTGAAAATTCCATTACGTGATTGTATTTGGGCTCGATTGTACAATATGTAATCTTATACATATTATGCAATTTCATAGCTAACTAACTACCTGATTAGCTCGCAGCTCTACTGAAGTTACAAATGTTTAAAAAAGAGAGACCAAACAAACACAAAATGAATTACATTTTCGTGTATTATAATGGTATGTTGATCACCTACCAATTTACCTTCAACATTTCACAACTTCACATCTTCAACAACATGATCGTGCAAATCAAATCTACGATAATTGAATTATTGAAAAATTTTCAATAAAAGTTTAATTTATAAGATTATTAGGGTTCTTAATCAAATTAATGGAACTTTTTCAAAAATTGATTAATTTTTATATCTGACCTTTAATAAACTAATTTTAGCTATGAAATTCTCATAATAAACAATTAATGAAAAACGTTTATTGTCGATTTTTTGTGCTTTTTGACGCATTTGTTTATGTAATCCAAAAAAATAAAAAATAAAAAATAAAAAACCAGCAACAAACAGTTTAGCCATAAAGTTAAAATATTATGGCCAAGGGGATAACTGAATATTTCCAACTCAGCACTTTATTATCGTAAAGGGAAGGAAAGAAATTGAAACTCCCATTATTTTCAGAAAAATAATACAGATAACTATTAAAATATTGAATCCAACGATATGAAAACATTATAATTAAATTATTTGCAACTGGTTTCTTGAATATACATTTAAACTTTACTGCTCACATACCGCCTAATATTGTAAAAACTACCTAATAAATAATTTACTCAATATATTATCTAAATTTATTATTAAGTTAAATGAAAGCTTATTATTATTTAAGATTATTTCTACAATATCATGTACATATAATATTATAAATACAAGAAATAAAGTTAATATAATTTAAATTTTAAATAATTTCAATAAGTTTGAAAAATCATATAATAGTACATTAATTAATAGAATAATAATTTGAATAATATAATATATTACACAAAATAAACATAGTATAACTAAACATATTTCAAATTAATTTAAACAGTTCTATAGTAGAACGATTATTGAATAATAATTGATACATTCAAAATAATATAATGTAAAAATACTGTTATTATAAATTAAAAATTATGCATTATTCTCCTCAAATAATTAGTTTTTGTTTTATATATATATATATACATGTATAATAAATAAACATAATGAATAAATATATATTTAATTTTTTCAATCAATAATATATAATAATATTAATAGTATTTTTTAATTATTAAATAATAAACAATTTTTAAACGTTTTGTTGTAATAAAATAATTTCGTATTAATACCTCCTAAATTTTATTTATATTTAATACATATGTCAACATTTTCAAAATTGCCAATAAACTGAAATAATTGTTCCTGTTATAATTTAAAATTTTATATTATTAATTACTTTCAAATCGCTGTAAATTTAATAATCTCTTTGATTTGTTGCACTAATAAATTGTTAGTGTATGAATTCGATTCTATTAAGATGCATAATAGATGTTTTCAGTATATAAATATATTTTTTAGATAATAATTATTAAGAGGGAATAAAAGTAAAATCTTATTTTTGCTATTTTTGCATATAAAGAGGTTGAGACATTATTTTGTGTTCGTCGTCCATCAAATGTTAAAAATATATGCTAATTTTATTTCCAATTCGCTTCTTTGCATTTTAGACATTTTATTAACAATTACATGCGTCTTTGAAATATAGGATAAGTAGTAAAAGTTTTCGTTTCTGTAATTAATTTTATATAAAAGGATTATCAGACAGTATTTTTAAATCTCGAAATAAAGTGAATAAATTGATTTTATTATAAAACATATTTGAAATAAAAACAAAAATAAAACGGACTATACGATATTAGTAACCGAATTATTTTATGTAATTCTATTGCAAGTATCGATCATAAATATATTAAAAACTGTCTGATTTATTATTTTTCAATAGACACAACTTTCTTTTATAAATTTCCTATGTAGACAATTGCAATATATAATGAAATATTCGAATATTTCGCGTCTCGTCGGTCCTAAAAGCCATTAGTTTAATATATCTTTATTCATTATGAACTGGTGCATGAGTTATAGAACAACGAGTGTAAAAGTAACTTATGTTTATATAGAGAGAGACGATAAATCTTTTCTAGATAGAATTACTAAGACTGGAATGGTTCATATTTAGGCCGCGTTTGAAAAGGTTGATAACCTTTTTGCTCGCAGATTGTAAATCTAATTAATATAGAATGCCACATGTGGTAAGCACGTGTGAGTCGCTGAAATCCAATAATTTTACAATCAGAGACTATTGGTCAGACAGTTGCATTTAGTATAAAGTATCACGTAAGAGTGACAACGTTACCAATAATATTTACGAGATGATTGGAAAGGAAGACTTACGGTAGTGTATTCTAGAGCATATAAGCGAGATAGTAAAAACGGAAGAAAAGTTATTGGAGAGCAAACACGAGAAATTTCCAGCGTGAAATATGCGCGAATTGTGAGGTGGAAAAGGTAGTACTTGAAAGTCGTCGGCAACTACTTATTACATCCTTATGAACAGAAAAAAGAGAAATAAGAGCACTTCATTGCATTAGCGTAGTCAGGCAATTCTACGTAGATTTAATAAATTCAAAAAAAAAAAATATATATTAAGTTATTCTTCGTGAAGAAACGCTGACCTTATACCGATGCAATAATGAAATTAAATTTCATTTCGTCGCTTATGCGACGATTTGCCGTACGAAAGTTCTGAGGGAAAAATAAAGAAAAACTTAATGATTGTAATAAAAAAGCGTAAAAAATAAATTGCAGAATTAGATTTGGTTTTTTACTATTGTTTAAAGATTTTATTTAAGTTCTCGTCATACAAATAATAACACATATAACGCATTTATTCGTAAAATTTCCTTAAATTAATAATAGTACTCTTCTTTTTTTTTTTTTTATTTCATTACAAGCAATAATTCATTATAATTATATAATCGAATACTCTTACGGCACGCATTATTCCATTTACACACTTTTATCATATATCACTGTGGCCATGCAATGCTCTAATTATTTAGTGATTATAATATCTCATAACAAAAATATAATTTACAATTAGGCTTGTCTCTTATCGTTCACAAAGACGATGATTATTTGTTCTGATTTTCTTTTCGAATGATACAATGAAATTTAAGAAAGTCCGCTTAACTCGTACCCTAATGTAATTCACATTGAATGCAAATTTTCCAACGAAATTCATCGCATCGACATACTACATCAACATCAACAATTCCAATAAATCATCGCCCTAATGATAATAAAAATAAAAATCAATGACGATATAAATCTTATCGATCGCCGATGTAAAAGAGTTTCGTAGATCTCGTGTCTTTAATATATAAATCGCGACAGGCGCTTACATGGATAATCCATTACACTGAATTGGAATCGAAAGAACAGTGGTGTAACTTTCTCGATGGAGCCGATACGCAATATAAAATATTATTTATACCAGACGAAAAGCGAAAAGATACTATCTGTGCGCTCAATTTGTTCAATTAATTCCACTTTGCATTATAAAATTTGCACGATAAAGCAGGAAAAGCTTTCTCTAGCCATTCTTACATTGGTCCTTGAAAGGAAAATGTTTTCAGAGAAAGTGATAAGTTGATCGCGCGAAACTACTCAAGTACGAAACGCGATTCTTTTAAAGAAAATAAAAAATTCTTATGACTATGCAAATTTATGATTTCGCTCAGTTTCATAACGTTATTTCACATTTTAACCACTAGGCAATTGCATTTGTATCTTTAATAATTAACGGAATTTATAACCGACCAAGCGCTTTCTTAATCAAATCTTAAGTTCAAACTAACAACGATCTTACACCGATCGATTTCCCTTGAATTTATGAATTGACATTCTACGGTCCCATTAATTGTCACGACCAAAGAGTTTATAAGCCTAATACGTTATTATTATTGTTTATTTATTTATTTATTTATTTATTATTATTATTATTTTATTTTATTTTATTTTATTTTATTTTATTTTTTAAGATAGCCTTTATTACTTATAATAACCGAATGAAAGTCGCTGGTCGGCTCTTGGCAAAATTAATCGACTGCTGGGACGCGAAAGCTAGAAGATAAGAAGGGATAAATAAACATAAAAATAAAACACACGGAGCCTGATCGAGTGCGTCCAAGTGTTAATATTGTCGCTCGTTGACTGGTTGTGCCACTGGCCGTTGCTGATTATCGTAATACGGATTGCCGGTTTGACGAATCTGACCCTGAGTATGCTCCTGCTGAGGGGGCTGCTGTGGGTAGGCAGCAGCCTGCTCCGCGACGTAGTCCTGTTGATAGTTGGTGGGCCGTGGCTTATACTGAGCCGGTATTGGCTGGGTCTGGGCAGATCGAAGTCCTGGCTGCTGGGCCGGCTGGGGTACGTAGGGCTTATCCAGACGGTAGATTATTTGGTTGGCGATCACGTCGTAGGGGATCTGGGCTTGGTAGCGCAGTATTTGCTGGATCTGCTGAGGCACGTTGCTGGAATATTGGGGTACGGGCTCCGCCGGCGGTTGGCTCAGTCTCCCGTAAGATTTCTGGTTTGGTACTGCGTGTGGCTGCTGCTGACGCTCCTCGTAGCCGGTGTAAGTCGGTGCCTGACGGCGCTCGCGTACCTGCTCGCGGGAATTTTCCCGTGGCTGTTCGCGCGATCGCTGGTGCTGTCGGGGCTTTGACCTATACACGCTCCGAGGTGCCTCCTCGATCACCAGTTCGGCCGATTGCTGTTGAGCCAGTACTTGCTTGGGGTATTCTTCGGCGAATTTGTTGGCCTGAGCTTGAGCGGCTGAGAGGGCGTCGATTCTGAAAGCGACGACGTTAGGGATGATTAATTGGTGGCTTTCACCACCGTAAATCGGCAACCTTAGCCCGTTAAATCGATCCGTTTCGGGAAATTAAGAGCGACTAGCGATATTTTACATTTTCGCTGGCCTTACTTTTTTCTCTCGATAGGTCGTCTCCATTGGACACGTATATTGTTGATGAATTTTACCGAAAATTTTCCATGCCTCCTCGTACGCAATAGCAAATAAAATTACAGACAAGGAAATTTTTTAAATCGAGATTCGAGTCTTGAAAATACATCTAATGTCATATCAAATATTGTTATATCAAACAATAACTTACTAGTCATACTATTCTAACAATACTAATAAAAATTTTACATATTTCATTTATTACGAAATTACGGTAATTTTAAAGAAAATAAAGTTAAATATTAAATTGAATATTATCGAAGTAATGATTGGTAGATTGATTTCATTGTCATATTTTATGTTATTTACTTATATTATTTTAATCATTATGAGAGTTTAAGTAACTCATAATAGTATTGTGCTATTTTGTAATTTTAACTTTAGGCTCTGTGTTTTTTTTTTTCGATATATTGATATCCGTTTATATCAATTATGCGACAATTCTTGGAATAAATGGAATCTATATAATGAAATAAGTAATAAACTTTATTTCCTCTTATTAAATACATATCAGTTAGAATTCTAATTCTTATTTACAGAACTTTTCTTAAGCATATAATACTATTTATTTGTTTGTAATTACAGCTCTATTTTAGAATAATGTAGGTGATATGTTTACAGAATACAATAATTTGTTAAGGAATTTTTTATTATTCTAATACTTATAACATCGTAAAGTATTATAAATATAATGACGTAATATATTAGATGAAATGTAAATAAAATAAATATCATACTAGTATTATTAATGCAATTTTAATGTTAATGGTTATAAGAATTATAAAAAAAAAAAAGAAAAAAGAGAAAAAAAAAAAGATAAATAAAGAAAGAAGAAAAACATAGTTTTCCCGGTGTGTGTATTGAAATCCTCGATATAATTAGTTAGCTGATGTATTGGTATACAAATTGTTGTCTGTCTAACAGCAATTCAGTCGTTAAACAGATTTTCCCTTTATCACAATTGACGCAACGGACCGTAATCAGTGCATGCATTCGTCGCAATATCCACCACTCGCATTCACAACTAAACAGAAAAGCTTAATGTTTCAAAGAGTACCTGAGGTGCTCGGGTATAATGTTGATGTACGGTATCTGAGCCTGAAATTGCAGGATCTCTTGAATGGAGGGCGGTGCCTTTTCGATGGGGTTGTAATTGATGTTGGCAACGGGAGCCTGATACTGGGGCTGGGCGACCGGATGTGCCTGGGCGTGGGGTCGGGCTTGTGCTTGGGGTTGAGGCTGGGGCTCGGCGCGAGCCGCTTGAGGCTGCGCTCGTCTGTGACTGGGACGTCGGTGGACCGGTCGTGGTGTCGGCTCCTCGTATTGCTGCTGAGGACTAGGATTGCTGGGAGCCCGATTGTACGATCGCCAATTTACCCGATGCCCTGATTTGAAATAAAATCCATGTACACGTAAATATGGCGGATACATTTTCAAATTGCGATGATTCACGATTATTGCACTTGTATTAATTAATATGCGAGAATTCAGGGAATGCGCCAAACAAAGATTAAAGGACAGTAAACGAATACGGCTCTACTATAATTAAAAATCCAATTCCAACATTAATACTGCATAGTGTAATTAATAAATAATTATTTATTATTATGTATGTATTATAATTAATAATAATTGTAGTGTGCAGTGTAAGTGTGTAGTGTAAATAGTTTTTGATGAGCAAGAAATACAGGCGAATTATGTAATTGGTTATTTGTCAATGGTAGTATTAATAAAATATGTATTTCAACCGATTGATAATGAACTTAATTGATACGTCAATGTTATTTTCATAAATTTGTAATATATCAACTGGTAAAGAAAGGAATAAATAATTAATAATAACTATATATATATATATATATTGAAATAAAAATTAAATTTTTACATTTAAATGCTAAATATACAAATAATACGACGTTTGCTCGCAAAAGTGATTAAAAAAGACACAAATTAAAAAAACATGTAATTTTATGATAAAACTAACAAATAAATTAATTATTATGATATAGCGTTTAATTAAATAAGTAAATTTATAAATAATTTTTAAATACTGGAATAATATTTGAACAATATAATAATAATAATAAAACTTTCCTTTACATAATTGTTTCTAGCATTATATTAATCTGATATTTTCTTCAAAATAATAATATCATAAGTCATTTTTCATGTACAATTAAGTGGGCTCGACTACTATACAAATTATGAATTTCATAAAACATTATATCAAATGATTGTTGTTCAAATGGTATGTTGCAATTTTGTTAATATTTGTTAAAAGTTATGTTATATCCTATTATATGGATATAGGAAGTTTTATAATAAGAAAATAATATAATGCTAGAATACATACATAAGTTACATTTAATGGACAATTATTCAAACTTCAATGTACGGAACTTTAATTAAAAGCAGGAAATAAGACAGGAACGTAAGCCTGAAATAATGTATATACAAATACACTTGTTAACAGACCATTTAATACGGATGTTAAGTGAAAATTTAATAATGAAACTTTTTTTAAATATTAAAATGCTGTGATGTTATATAATAATAATTAAAGTATCCAATTATCCGGGAAAGTTAAAGTAATACTAGATTTCGAAAAATGCATGTATTTATTGAATTAATAAGTTCCTAAAATACCGGAAATTATCGCTAAAAGACCTATTAACAAAATAATTAATTATTTAATGTTATGTAATAAAATTAAATTTTACATATAGTCTAAGATTTTAAAGCAATTATCGTTTAGTTATTATTAATTATTCTTATTTCCCAAGAATAGTAGTATTTTTGCAATACATTGACCTTGTAATATAATATGATAATCATCAATATTCATTTAAAAAGCAATGAATAAAAGTAAATTAATAAAATCATTTTCAACTTTGATAAATTAATTTATTGTAAATAGATATCTAATTAGCATTATATCTAAAAATTGTATTTACCAAATATTAATTTACCCAGAAGAATAATTATCGTGATTTCAAGGTCTGACTGTCAATACGTTTCCTCTTTATAATAAAATAATTATATTTTAAATGCATGCATTAATTTATTTATTATAGTCAGATCCGATTTTAGTGATAAAACAGTTATATCAGTATTGTTTTTTTTTTTTTTTAATTCTTATTATTTTATTTACGATAATATCGATCGGAAGCACAAATATATGTTTATATACGTATCGGATATGTCTATTATTATTTTAGATAATTAGGTCTTAGGTTTTAGGTAGATTAGGTCTTCTAGATAATAGATGATTATTGATACGAGCAAGTAATGGAAAAAGTGAAGGCGATTGGGATTCAAACGTAATTTCCAAAGAAAGTATACGTGTCTTGATTAATTAACATGATATGAAATGCATAAGATCGCACGTTAAATTTTCAAAATTTATCCTTCAATAGACGAAAGTTTAACTAACCTTTCCGATTTCTGTTCCCATTATACGCTTTTATATTTTATAAACACGTGAATGCGATGATAAACAAGGCGTGAATGAACTAACCACTTGGATCTTTGTATTCTATTGCCCTGCCCTGATTGGCAGGCTGCTGAGGCTCTTCTTGACTGGCCCCATAATTGTGAAGATAAGCTTGGCTACCCCCATCGGTCGGCCCGTGGATTTGAAACTCGGCATTTCCGTCGCTAGCACCCTGAATATGAAAGTCGGAATTGCCATCAGTCGCGCCCTGGATTTGAAAGTCACTATTACCATCACTAGCACCTTGAATTGAAAAGCCCGATGTTCCCAATGACGCTGAAATTATACGATTAAGCAAATATTAATTACTGCAATCGGTGATATTCGAAATTATGAAAATCATTATACCGTTCGGAGTTGATTGATTTCAATCTTTTTAATGTTTAATTTCCAATGCCGTTCCACGAATTATATGGATTAATAATACCAATTTCCTTAAAGTATAATAATAATTTCCTTGGCCAGGGAAATTATGGCATTGTTATTCGTAGCAATTATGTTTTATGTTGAAATATTTTTAAAAATTTTGTATTACTCGAAAATTGTACAGAGATATGTATTTTATAATCATTGATATTGTTTAATTCGGCCACCACACTATAAGATTACCCATTATAACGATGTAATATTAAAATATTTTTCAAACTCTAAATGCCAATAATCATTATATTATATCGATAGTAATATTTAAATAGAAATTTAAGTTTTTTATTTGCAAATTGACAAACCAATTGTCAATTATATTAAACTAATGTATTATCAATTTTGCGTGTAATCTCAACTTAATGAAATATTAAAATTTATCTTTTAATAAGTAAATTTTGAATTTTAATATTAAATAACAATATTTTACTTACAACCGCTTACAAAGTTAAATTTTAGTAATATGAATGATAATCATCATTGAACGTTAAATTTTATATTTCATATATACATTATAATAACGATAATAATGGATTTTTAAACGTACATTTAGCATCCCAACTCAAAATTCAAAAATATCCCATTATACAATAAGACATAGTAAAGAAAAATTATTTCAAGTATAACTAAATTGAACTTACGAATTCTATAATTTTATGCGTTAATTTATTAATTTATTAAACACTGTATAAGTATGAAATTACGTTAACGCTCGTAATAGCAAATATCGATCGGATAATAATTACCGGCTTGATCCGTATATTCCACACCCTTGTCTGCGCTATACTTCAGACCCTGGGCCCGACGATTCCCATCGCTCGGCCCTTGAATCGAGAACTGCCCAAAGCAGAGGAAGGGCAGTAGCGATAGAATAATTATCTGCAAACGAATATGTGTACATTAATATTGCTTACATTTACATGTTTATATAGCTTAGTTGGTATTAATAGATTTTTCCTAATTTGTACTCCGGTTTAGTCTTAAAAAATTATAATATTATTTGAAGAATTATCCTCATTTATTTGTTTGTATTTTTTCCTATTCTTAAATCTATAATGATTTTCTTTTGGCATAGATGAGAAATGAATTTGAAGTTTAAAAGATATTTGATTATAGCTTATATGTACATTTATCTTAAGTATTACATATATTTGAAAAAATTAATTAAGCAAAGTTTTGAATTTCAATATCAACTTAGACGTAGACACCTTTTTACATCTGTATTAAGTAATTTTGATAAATTTCATTTATTTTATCAGTTTTTTTTTTTTTTTTTTATAACATCATAAATAAATAGGTTATTAAATTGTACATTTACGTTTGTTAATTCATTACTCATCAATGATACTAATAATAGCAATAATAAGTTATAAATAGTAGTTACTGTTATTATTATTATTATTATTATTATTATTATTATTATTATTATTATTATTATTATTATTATTGTTGTTATTGTTATTATTATTATTAATTGTAATAACAAAGTCACCTCGTCTATAGAATAAGTTTATTTAAATGAGGAGATATTATAGAATAATAGACTATTACTCCAACTACTATAAAGCTATCTAAAAATTCATGAAAATATATTTTTAATTTACTAATTTTTGTTTTTTGGATCTACAAAAATTATTTCATTAAATTATCTAAGAAATTTAAATTACTAATTCAACGAATTATAAATGCATTCTATTATATTGAATAATATTTTTAAAGATATTTATAGGTAATTAAAAAAAAATAATTTCTTATTATAGAGAAAATCTTTCGTCAAAAATACGTTAATGTTCGTAAAAAGTTTAATATACATTAAAGAGACAATCATTTATCTCTCTCTCTCTCTCTCTCTCTCTCTGTAAAAATAAATGTACAAAAAAGTATTGAAAATAGTATAAATATGTACTATGCAGTTAAGAAAATAGTTGAAAATAAAGTAAGAAATAAATTAATTGTAATTTCAAAAAAGAAAAAACAATTATTATTTACTTGACTTATCTATTTGACGTCGACAAAAAAGGAGAGACAATTTAATTTACACGAAAATACAAAAGATTCTTCCCTCCACTGCAATGTATACACAAGTGAAAGTTATCTCTTTATATATTATATGTATAGATATATATTTTTGAAAATGTCAAATGATCCTTCGAGAGCCACGGTGATGATCACTTATGCGAATGCACACAAGTAAGGCCCGACAGAGTATAAACCATTACTTGTACCTGGTATGGAACACACTAGCCAAGAAGGTAGATGATGCCCACGTATTCGAAGCTACAATTTATCATTGTTCTCGTGGCGGCAGATTGCGACAGCGCAACTTTCGTTATCCACGTGCATCGGCATAAATATCGAACTCTCGTGGCTGCACTGAGGCCGATTAGCGACAGGCGAAAGAGGAGAGGCGAAATAGAAAGTCGGCTAGATGGTGGCTGCATATGGAGCTGGGATAGAATATGCCACGAGAAGTATGCTGCACTGGATGTACAGTCAGTCCGTTGTAAATGTAATGTAGATTTCTAGAAGGTGATACCAACTTACGTGGATAATTTAAAAAGACGTCCCACTTTAACTTTAAAAATTATTCTTTTCCTTTAATGGTGTTGTTGTTGTTGTTGTTGTTGTTGTTGTTGTTGTTGTTGTTGTTGTTATTGTTATTATTATCATTATCATTATTATTATTATTATTATTGTCACACTTTCTTCGATAAATTTAACGGTCATCTATTTGTAAATGCATTATTTGCATAAAAGTGTAACTGCCCATACATATTCTAAAACTATATGTACACATGATAATTGTAAAATTTGTTAAATCCTAAGACTAACAAAACTGTTTTATCTGATACTGCTGTAGTGGTAATTCAATTTAGTCTAGCTAAATAAAAACATTATAAAAATGAAACAGAAATAAAAATTTATAATTGAAAGCATGTTTATAGATAAATAAATTGATATAAATATAAATTACTACATTTTTGAGAAAATGTTAATTTCTATTAAGTCAACACGTCAACTCGTATGAAATTACATCTCAATCACTTACTTTAAGTAAACTTTTATTATAGAACTATTCAACTTAATTTTGAAATATTATTACATGAATTTTAATTAATCATAGAAGAAATATAATTAATTTAAATAATCTTATTTACCTTTCTAGTATCTAATCCTGAACCTCTCACTTTATTTTCACTTGCCCTCTTACATTTCTTAATTTACAAGAAATACATTGCACGGACAACCGTGATTATCTCGCCTTTCTATTTAGTCGATTTAACCAATCAATCTATGAAGTCATATTGAATTCAACTTATTTTATTTTTAGGAAATTTAATGAAGATACATTATCTTCGGCAATGATAATTTCAAATACGATAAATATTCATAAATATATATCATCGTATTTTCATTTTGCAGATTTAAAATATTCACTATTTTGATAATGAAAAGGCACAAAAAAAAAGTTAGATGAATAAATAATCGAAAATATATGAAAATAATATCGATTCAATGCCTCGATTGTTTAAATTACCTAAATTATATTAATAACTTCAATGCGACTTTCATTATATGACCGAGCATTAATAATATAAATAAAACAGTGTTTTTATATTGTACGCCTAATTTTTATTGTCCAAATAATTTAATTATATGAAATGCTTTCTTTTTTATTGAAACTTGAAGTACTCATTCTTATGTTCATGTAGGCCCAAATTTAGCTCAATGCCTTTTCAATTATATCATTAACAGCTATTTATACGCAAAAGATAAATAAAATAATATGATCGACATGTTATTGTGAATGTTTAACTACTTATTACCGAAAATTGGAAAACGATAGCAATGTTGGCTCGACCCGACATTACTTTATCTCATACGAAAACTTCTTTACTTGAAAAGATTTTACCGTGATACCGATTGTGCGTCGCCTTGTCTCTTTCGACACTAGGAACCGTGGGTGAAAGGGAGCGGCGAGGGAGAGGTGCAAATATCCGAGAAAGTAAATGCGCAAGCGGAGGCGAATGACTTGTAAAATTCTTTTTAAGCTCACCACGATTTTTTCTCACTTCCTTCATACTTGTGCAAACCCCATGACTTTGGACTTTGAGATGAACGGCCATCGAATACGATCATTTTTACTTCACAATCATGTCCTGCGCGGTTAATAATCGAGATTAAGTTTTAAGGACTTGCGCATTATCGAGCCACTTGATAATTATAAGTTACGGCAACATAAAATTCCAGCACTTAAATATTTAACGAATGAAATTTTGTTCCTCTCGGAATTCATGTTCTTTCTATACTGCGATATTACAACTCGAGACAGCAAGCCCACTAGTACAGTAATTAGAGGCGATTTGAATGAAAACACAGACACAGACATATATATATACACACACACACACACACACACACACACACACTCTCTCTCTCTCTCTCTCTCTCTCTCACACACACACACACATACGCACTCTCTCTCTCTCTCTCTCTCTCTCTCTCTCTATGTGTGTGTGTTTTTCTATGTGTGTCTCTCCGCGTATCTGCCTGTATCTGTGCGTATGTATGTGCAATCGTATGCGTGTTGTTTGGCAATGTCCATCGAATCGACCTGAAGCTTAGTCACTTAAATATACAACAACTACGTACAATAAAGAAATAATCATTGGATAAAGTACAATATGATCTTATCCCTATGAAAATCCATGGATACATCACCTATGGCAATACACTTGCCTAATACTCCAAATGTTCCTTGCGTCGAACGTTACAAGCACCGATAAATTGTTGACAATTGCGACGAGAGGCTGAGCCTCTCAGAGCCTGAGAAAGGTACGACGAGGGAAATGCCACGACCTATCCATGGCCCATTTAATGCCGAAAAACGGGCGTTTACGGGCCGGAGTCGGCGTGAAATCGAGCGCGAAAGCAATTGAGAGCGTGAACGGTTTACCTGGAGTGTGGCCATGGCGGAGAGAGAGAGTCGACAGGACGGGCACCGAGTGTCGTCGCGGGTGGAGCGTTTCTGAGGCGGTCGCGCGTGCCGCCCAACAACTTTATAGGCGAGCAGTAGTGGGCCCGAGCGAGGGGATGTGTCGCTGCTGCCCACCACCACTCCCCACGAGTCTCGTGAGCGCAGCCTCGGCGTCCGGGAATCTCCTGGTCTGGCGCTACGCTCCGCTCGCTCGAGCTTTTCCGGCGTGACTCCGGGTTCGCCAGGATACCCGCGGCTCTCTTTCCTCAGGACAGATAGGGCTCGGGCGTTGAACCAAAAGGGCCCAAGGGGTCTTGGGACGTGGAGCAACTAAATCCAATTCAATGGAGTGGAAGGGATCGCGCTCAACGGCGCCAACGCCATCGTGGGGAACGGTGGGCCGGTGAATGCTTCGTTTGGCCTATCTTTTACCTCTCTTGTATATGGTACGACTGCTCACTGCTAGTGTTGATAATCTCATGTTGATAAGCGTTATAACCTTGAGACGAGTTATTGGTATTATTGTGAAAAATTGGTGGGAAAAGAATGGGCAATACTCGACGAATCTTACTTTAATTTGATGTTGCTGTAGGTTGTAAGAAGGCACAAATATGCAAAACATTCATCCAAGGCATAACATTCTTTCGAATTCTGAGAATTATTTAAAAGATCGATTTCTAACCTCAATCTATTGTATTTAATCCTCCTCCGACGTGCCGTGAGCATAGCTATAATATCAGTGAAGTTAAATTTTTATTTTTGCAGGTAACATAAATTTCACCTTGACGAATATAATAAATGAAAGCTATTTTATTCATGATTCTTGTTGACATGTACCGTTAATTACGTTTCGTCCACGTTTACGAATTCATGTTTTTACCGTAAAGATGAATGTACGCAGAGATGTACACAATAAATTAATTGAAATCGATTAATGCTTAATAACACTTTTTATACCGAGACGTTATTAAATGTAAATACGAATTATTGCTTTAGATAATAATTTATTTATTTATGTTCACTATATAATTCCAAGTGCATATAAAATAATAGTAGAAAACAGTATAGATTTGAATAGTATTAAAAAATTCTATATCACAATTTCTATATCTACCGCTAATTTGTATTGATAAGCTTTATTGCATATAGATATTTCTAAAACCACATCATATATATATATATATACATGTAAACCTATAAAATCTATGATTATCAGTTCAAAATACCTCGTGTGTTTATGATCATTTTGGTTAAAAGCTAATGAAATTTACATAAATAATCGAATAGGAATCCAAAGAAAAATTAATATCGTTCCATTTTCATAACTCAAATGCTTTCTTACATTACACCATTTATATCGAATGAATCCACTTTTTTACGACACATTCATCTGCTAATCAAATATTCAGGATATTAGAAAGTTTTTACACTTTCCCAAACATTATTCTTGTACTTTTATCAAAATAAATATAGCAGAATAAAAAGTATAATTAGAATATGAAAAAATAGTAGTTAATGAATATTAGAGCTAACAATGAAATTATGTATTGTATATGAATATGTGTTAGTAAATTGTTCATTAAAAAGTATTAGAATTGATTTTTTTATTAACTTATTACAGCTTTCTAATTTAAAAAATAAATAAATAAATAAGATTAGTAAAGAAAGATATATATATATATATTTTTTTTTTTTTGTTTCATTTCTAATAGCTTTACTAATATGTCAGAGAGAGAGAGAGAGAGAGAGAGAGAGAGAGAGAGAGAGAGAAAGTAAATCAATGGAGCCATTTTATTTAATCTAATGAGATACCGAGATTACGTTACGCAATCCTTGTATAATTATTTTATATCCAAATTCTAAAGTTACAATGTTGATGTGCTACGCTCATGATCTCATGATACGCTGATCAAAAACATTTATTAAAATATTTATCATTACAAACATTATTTACTTATGGTCATTTTAAATCTAATTTATAAATAAACTAAGAATATTATTATTCAAGTTTTTTGTTCAATATATGCCATAACTAAATTGTGCTATCAGCTTTTACATCTTCTTTTCAATTTTAATTTACTATTTAATAAAACATAAAATATATATACTTAAGATTATAAAAAATAAATATCAATAAAATTCCAATAGTCTGTAATTAAAAATGGATATAAACAATAATTGTTAGGAAAATTTCTTTCCAGAAAATCGCAAGTTGTAAAAGTTTTCGTCGGCCAATCATTAAATACTAACATTACTTTGTTTGTAGATGTCATGTTTGTCAAAAATAATTGTGGACAAATGATTGCTAGGCTGTAATTCTCCATAAGAGACATTTCTCGGTCAGCGACTCCAATTCTACTCGACTTCTACTCGAGTGCCACATAGCTTTTAACCAATTTCCGTAATGCTGCCGGCAGTCTTGGAAGCGGTACCGGATGCGCATGTCGGTGTACGTACATTCGCTTAAGAAAAATGAAAAAAGAAAAAAATGAATGAAAGAAAGAAAACTAATATTGTAAAAATGAAAGTTCTTCGTGTGAGTTTTGTGTGCTGACCGCAGTTATCAGAAATCACCGGAGCATGAAGGCCACAACGAAAGTTGATAGCTGATCTTTCCTTCCTCATCCGGAGAAATTCCTCTCTTTTACACTTCCATTGCATCGTTTTGTAAAATACGACATACACGCAGAGAGGATAAAATTACTCATCAATCAACTCTTTCTTTTATTAGACTGAAAATCTTTTATTACAGAATTACTTGCGTTACATGCACTGATTTTACAAAAATGGTTTGGCATCTTACGGCATACCGGTTTATTACAAAGTTTCACTTCCATATTCTAAATAATTATTGTTACTTTATGTTCGATCATTCTAAAAGACTTTTACGATCAGAACAAACGTAAATTTTTTTTTTTTTTTTTTTTTTTTTTTTTTTGTACTATTACCGTAATATTCGGAATAGCAATACCAATGAATCATCACAGGGTCTTAGATAATGATTATTTGAAAATAAATTTTCAATTACACACATTACCGTAATCGATACTGATTTAATTTAATATTAATTAAATTACAATACAATCTTAAAATTACAAAATTTACTTTATTTTCAATTATTAATTATTTATTGGTAAAGATACCAATTTCAATATACAAAACTAACATTATTTTGTCGTACATGATTTTTGTTGGCACCGTCAGATTACAGGAATATATTACATATCATCATAAATCATATATCATCACATATCATCAGATTCAAATACAATCGAAAACAATTAATTATTAATTATTATAGTCCTGATGATTACAATCCCGCGGATCATCTCTCAAATTAGAAAATCTAACGAATCTCATTACAATGTGATTCTTCGTATTTGTCATTATCACCATCCACCAAAAAATCTCAATGAAAAATCTCTTATTTTCTTATAACGCTATTTGCGATCGAGCATCTATTCTTCTTGTTGTTGCTCATTCTTGTCATCTCTCTCGGATCGCTCCTTGTCCTTTCGATCACTGTTCTCGTTCTTGACAAAATAAATCTTACTTCGGTATTTGTATGGTCCCTTTACGTCCTCAGGGATTGGCTTCGGTACAAATATTGTTTTCGGCTTGTACAGAATTCTATTGGCAATCACATGGTAAGGTGTTTGCGCCTGAAGATTTAATAATTGATGGAGTTCCTTGGGCATAGCGCTTTCCCCATTCTTTTGTCGCTCTGGCTCCTGTTGCTGTTGATGATGTTGTTTCGTTTGGGATTGCTGCTGTTGATATTGACGCGATTGCTCTTGCTGATAAGTCTCGGGCTGCTGAAACTGACGTTGTACCATCTGATTCTGCTGATATGTCTGCGGCTGCTGGATTTCGTACTGCCGCGTCTGTTCGCTTTGATACTGTTGCGGCTGCTGGACTTGGTACTGTTGACTATGCTGCTGCGTCTGTTGACGATCATTCTCGTAACTGGATTCGCTCCTCTCGGGTACAGAACCATACCGAGGAATCGCGGATGCTGCGGGAATTGGCTCGTCCTTGTATTGAACGAAAGCTGCCTTCTCCTTGTTTAACGAATATTTTGATTCGTACTTGGGGATGTGCTCATAAAGTTCATCGGCGTTGTTTAGTTGTATCTGAGACGTCGCCCTCGTCGCTTCCTTCTCTTCAGTTGGAACTTGTGACTTCGCCTCTTCCTCTTGCGGTTGCTCGAAGGTTCGATATATGTAAACGGATGGATCAACGTAAGGTGCTTGAGGTTCGTACATCTTGTGAATAAGTTGCTTTATATGCGCTGGTACCATCGAATAAGGCTTATAATGAACCTAAAATCGTGAAGAATAGAACGTATAATTATTTACTTATATTAAGTTCGTTGTTATTTAACTTAATTGATTATTGTCAAATAAATTCAGCATCCATTGATTTTATTACATTATCATCGCTAAAGATACCGACTCTATATAAGATTATATTTTGTCTTTTAATTTTTAGTGTGTCGTTCAATCATTGCAATTCAATTCGCTACAATTTTAACATTATACAAGTATTTTAAACTTAAATTAAAAACTTACTTAACTAAAAAGTATTTTATATTAATTATATATATTTTAATTTATAGTAATTGTAAATATTCTGGATTTTATTTAGACATTGATTCTGTTGAATGTTAAAGCGATCGCTTTTCGTATATTAACATCATATAATCATAAAAATAATAGTTGAAATAAAACATTTGAATCGTTAAATTTCTTTGCGAATTTAGAAATTTTATTTATATTTTTTTTTTTTTGTTTTTAACGTCCGACTCTAGTATTCGATTTTCATTCTTTTACTTCAATGGAGAAAGCATATTTTTTTCAAAAATATTTTAAAATATTTTTAAACAACGTGAGCATGGTGCGAACGTTATAAATGTTCTTCCCACCATATATTTAAGAAAAATTAATGAACAATTCTATTTAAAATTTTATTGTGCCTCTACTTTAAGTTCGTTCAAACAAAATGTTAATTAATATATAATGAAAAAAATTAATTACACTTATACTTTTTCTTATAGTACATATGTATTTGTAATAATCGAATAAATATTCAAACGATTTCTAATAATTTTAGAAGAACTAAAAACTTTGTAAAAAAAAAAACTTTGAAAAAAGAAAAAAATCAAGATTCTTCTTTCCTCTCTTATTCTATATACTATATGTTAAAATTAATTAAAAACAGAAAAAAAGAATGAAGGATATTTTCATATTTCTGAAATACTAAATAATATTCCAGCAAGTTAGAAATAATTAAATTTAAATTAAAGCACGGGAGAGAATAGCACTGATTATAATCATGATTAAATTGTAAAAAAATGAATTAATCTAATTTATAAAAAGTATTAAATTAATTAACTTAATTATTAAAATATATTCACAATTTATTTACATTATTTTCAATATTAAATTATTATCACTTTTGATGTAATCGTAATAATCATAATTTGATGTAATCATAATATGAAATATTAACTTTTATGATTATTGAAGAATTATTGCATCAAATATAATGTTTCGTAATGATAGTAAGAAACATTCTTCTTTTAAGAATCAATAATTTCGTATCAATTTCATGTTCGATAACAAAAAAAAAATCATACTGGCATTAAATACAGTGCTCACAGAAAATTACATAATATTTATCGGATCATTATTATTATTAGTTTTTATGTGCATATATAAAGGATAGACTTACAAAGAAAAATAAAAGTAGAAATCAATCGGCTATAAATACGCTTATTCGTACTAAAAGCAAATAAAAAATATTTAATGGTTAAGCTCAACTGAATTTACAATGTTTAAATATTGCCTTCCAATGATTTGGAAAATTGCAGCCTCATGCCCGCGATAGCATGTTAAATCATTATAATTGAAAATTAAATAATTAATTGATAATCAATCTCTATTAGAAAATAATAAATAAAATGCGTAATATTATCTTGAAGTATAATCTTGAAGGAATCAATCGATAATTTGTGAAATGATTATATTATGGTAAATTTCATTCGGTCTTTGTTAATTTGAAGTCCTTTTCACGTTACGTTAATAATAATACACCTATTAAAATGGTTATAATATCCGAAGTGAAAGCTAAATGTATTTTTCACAATTAATAATAGTTGCAATAATGTTTTGGTAATTCAAGCAATTTTGGCCCGCCTTAGAGGCAAAAATACAATTAAAAAAAATGGACGGTCTCGCCCGTATGCCCAAGTTCGCATTAGCAAAAGGAGGAAAAAAAGAACGAGAATGCATAAAAACTTTAGTATATCTACTAAATAGGATTATGTAAAAAAAAACAAAAAAACAAAACAAAACAAAACAAAACAAAACAAAACAAAACAAAACAAAAATTGAAACAGCTTTTTGTAAAGCTTGCGTAATTGTTTGCTAAATGACGCGTAGTTGGTAGTTTTTAAGGATGGGATTTCTTCTCGTACGTCCAACGCGTTTGTACTTATCACACATAAAGAAAATGCCAGTTATTAAAGTAGAAAAAGAAAGCATACGCTTTCCCATACACGCACTTCTTTTACATTGTATTTCATGCATATTACAGGGCCTTTATTATTCGCATAATACGTCGCGTATTAATTACGAGCTTAGTTATGAAATCGGTCGGCGTAAGATTGTGCAAAACGCCAAAGTTAATGCTCTTTATTCTGCGCTGCTCGCGCTCGTTATGATCAGTCCGAAGGATAAAAACATCGAATTGAAAATACCGGGGCGGCAGAGACTCGGAGTTTAAGCCGGATAAGTTTTTACGTAAGACTCAAAAACAAAGATCGCCTTGCAGCGCAGCATCGTTAAAGCGAAATTGCACGGACGATTATGTCGGCCGGGGATTGCAGTACAATTCCTTAATGAGCGGCGCTCTGTCATTTAAAAGTCAAAGCAAGTAGCGGGAAATGGCGGTTCGAGCTGTGAGGGAGGGTGGTAGGGGGAGGATGCTGACCTGGACGTGCGGCAAGGGCTGGGCGAGCTTATCCTCGGATACGGCGGCTTCGGGCTTCAGGACCTCGGACTGGGTCTCCTCGATCGGCTGGGCTGAGCCGGTCTCGGCCCTCTCGTTGCGCTGAGGTGTCGCCTCCAAGTGGCTCTTCCACTGGGTGTACGGAGCATAGAGCTTCCAATTGACGCGGAGGCCTTCCATAAAATGCAAACTTATTATTAGAGCGATTTACCTAGGGCATGGGATTCGCTCCCGATGGCCTTAAAACCCCGGAAGCAAACGCTACGCCGAATATTATAATTATTGTTGTTGTTGTTGTTGTTGGTCCTAATATGCATATTATTGTTCTCGTTGTTTGTTTGCTTGTTTGTTTGTTTGTTTGTTTGATTGTTTGTTGTTGTTGTTATTATTATGGCGTTGCACTGCGAATGGGAAGACAGATCGATCTGATAAAATAGAAAGTTTGCAGCTCGAAAGTCTTTTGCGCTCTATCGAAAGTAGCGCAGGATGCATTATAATTTTAATAGTTTCTCATTTAATAACGCTCAGCCGAATATTTTACTTTATTTTTATGTAATTAGCACCTTTCGTTCGCGGCTAGTGAGGCTAACGTGGCGACGCTACATCGGGAGAGCGACGTACGCATTTAGTAAACGGCAGGTGGCTACTTCCTCGTTATTATACTTTACCATCGGGATCGCTGTACTGGATATGACCTTGCGGGGTACGAGACTGCCGCTGTTGCGCAGACGCAGCATCCTCTTGCTGGGCCAGGCAGCCGGTGATCAGCAGAACAAACGTTATCTGAAACGTCAGAGTGCCCACACGTTAGACTCATTAACCTTCTTCGTTCTTTTCTTATTCTCACGGTTGTTCTTATCCATTCTTTGTTTTGTTTGGTTTTTTGTTTGTCTTACATGTTTCATCATTTGCTTTTTAATTATTTTTTCTTTAAATGAATGTTTGCTTGAAGAGAAGTCTTTTTGGCCGATAGAATTATCGCCCGCGAAATAATTTAATATTTCTACGCCCTCGGTTAATAAAACAATTTCTCTTATTTGCGTTATAATGAGTATAGTTAATTATCCAGAGAGGAAAATATTGCGAAAAAGCCTCTAATGATATTTAGTCATTCGATGAAGCTCGACTAGTTGTTTAATTTATATCTTAACTCCTTAATTACGATAAACTGAGAGTATATCAATAACAAATATCCCTACTTATCTTCGGCTTCAAATACTCCATAAATTAGCAATATTTACCATTAAAAACTGAAAATTGTATTAAAAGTTTTAATAGCGCTAGTTGGCATTATTCTTCTTATTGCGAATAATTAAAGTGATGCAATGAAGCATTATTTTAAATGAGCTCGTTTCCTCATCTAAATCTGTAAATTAATTATATATCATTTCTGTTAACGCATCGTTCGTCTTTAATTATACATTTATAAGATGTTGATTATTATGTTTTAAATAAAAATAGTCTAATTTCTTTGGCATTGATAAGTTAAATTAATTGTTATTATTATTTTATTTTTTTTTAATAATTAATTTTTAAGTATTATTATTGTTGTGGAATAATATTTTCATACGCCAACTACAAAATTTGCCCATATTCTTTTCGATTTTTACGATTTTCGATTTTGCACTTTATACCCTTTACGTTTATATCGCATAATTAGACTTAAAGGCAGATTTTATTTTGGAAAACTTTTCCGATAAGTCATTTAAAGCAATGTGAAGCTCACCGACAGAAAAAGTTTTACAAATTTATTATAAACTACTACATTGTTAGATGCCACGCTTTATTTGTTTGTTTGTTTGTTTGTTTGTTTGTTTGTTTGTTTGTTTGTTTGTTTGTTTGTTTGTTTGTTTGTTTGTTTGTTTGTTTGTTTGTTTGTTTGTTTGTTTGTTTGTTTGTTTGTTTGTTTGTTTGTTTGTTTGTTTGTTTGTTTGTTTGTTTGTTTGTTTGTTTGTTTGTTTGTTTGTTTGTTTGTTTGTTTGTTTGTTTGTTTGTTTGTTTGTTTGTTTGTTTGTTTGTTTGTTTGTTTGTTTGTTTGTTTGTTTGTTTGTTTGTTTGTTTGTTTGTTTGTTTGTTTGTTTGTTTGTTTGTTTGTTTGTTTGTTTGTTTGTTTGTTTGTTTGTTTGTTTGTTTGTTTGTTTGTTTGTTTGTTTGTTTGTTTGTTTGTTTGTTTGTTTGTTTGTTTGTTTGTTTGTTTGTTTGTTTGTTTGTTTGTTTGTTTGTTTGTTTGTTTGTTTGTTTGTTTGTTTGTTTGTTTGTTTGTTTGTTTGTTTGTTTGTTTGTTTGTTTGTTTGTTTGTTTGTTTGTTTGTTTGCGTGTATGTGTGTGTGTGTTTGCGTGTGTGTGTGTGTGTGTGCGTGCGTGCGTGGGTGTGAGTGTGCGTGCGCGTGTGCGTGCGCGTGTGCGTGCGTGTGCGTGCGTGCGTGCGTGCGTGTGTTTGTGTGTATTTTTCTACATAAAAGTCTTTCTCAGTTTATGTTCAAATAATTAGATGTGAATAATTTATATATTTTTTTTATCTGTAGATGCGAAATTATCGATGAAGTTTGTAAACTTTCACTATCATTTTTTCAGAATAAAATTTACCGATATTTTTTTTTAAACGTAAAAAGTAATAATGATCAGTATCTGTAAAATAATTAGTATTCTTAATAATCAATTGTTGTTTTTAATGTCGACAGCTAACTTAAAATTAAATAACCATATATTATTCACGAATTATATAAGCTCGGTTTGTAAGAATTATTTATTAATAAGCATGACAAAATAAGACAACTGTGGTGTGTGTAAAAAGATTTTAAAAAAGTAAAGTAAAGTTTTCAGAAATACTTAACGCCTGCAATTATTATAATTCCTATTGAGGCTAAATACATTGAGAGTGTTTTTAAATCATTTCAAAATTGAAAAGCACTTGTAGGCGGATAGGTTTTTTACGTCTGGCAATGTGTTTCAATATCTATGGGAATATCTATGAATGATACGACGAAAAAAGATATTTTTATCAAATAAAAAATTATCGTCAAACATTTGTAATTTGAGTTGACAGTGATGCATTTACACCCATCCGATGGCATTTATTTACGAAAAAATTCTTTTATAATAGCAGCAACATTTATAAAATACGTTTATAAGTTTATCGACAATATCAGTCAAATGACAATCGTTAAATATTGTTGTTATTTATAAATAAAGCACACGAGTGACAATATTGCGATACGCATGAGTTTTACAATAGTTGCAAGTACATTGTAAATTGAAAATTTAGATAATTTGTTAAGCGCAAAAGTATATATATCTACATAGATTTGAATAAATAAATCGATATAATCGAGCTAATCGCAGAAGGTAATTTTCTCAGCATCAAATGAAGATTGAATAATCGTGAAACGGGGCGAAACGAAGTACAAAAAAAAAAAATTTCGATTTGTTATTGTTGTTCGTGCGGAGAATAGGTTTTATGTGAATTTGAGTGCAGTGCGTGCGGTAGAGAATAAGAGATAATTTTCCTGACCCGCCGCGAAAAAAGTAAATGAGAACATCCTCGATTCCATTCTCTAAGCAACAACAGCGTGCTTTTGTCAATAAGAGTCGCTTGTGAAGAAAATTGCGAAACTTGGGGCAAATGTCTCTGCGCTCACAGTCATTTGATCGTCAAGTCCCGCTTCGATGAGCATCGAGCGTAAAAAAGATATAGAAGTAGTTAGGGATAATGAGATAAATTAAAAGAATCCCTTTATACGGATATATCGATTTCACTCACAGTGGACTTCATGTCGGCGAAAATCGCACTCGCCGCGGCTTGTCAATGTTCGATGCAACTGGAGGCCTCCGATTGTCGGGGAGGGTTGATGTCACCGGGTCCTGAGCTTGAGGAAATCTGTCGGTCTCTCGGCCGCGGAGTTTTCTATATATGCAGCGGCCAGGCCCGTCTAATTGTTGGTACGCTCGCGCTCTCAGCCGCGGCCGTTGCTTTTAAGAGTCATTCGCCGCCTCCGGTAAGGAGTAGTAACCGGGGGCAGCGTCTCCGTGAGCCTCTCGAGGGTACGTCGCCGGGGAAAGATACGCCGGCCGCTCGCGAGAGACAGCGATAGAGCGCCAAAGGGGAGGGAGCGGACGATTGAGTGGTGGGGGGAAGCGGGCTCCGATCGCCGTGGCGCAACATTCCGAGCGGGGCGGCGGGAGACACTTTGGAAAATCACGGGAAGTCGAGTGCTACGGGACGAGGGGCGGAACAAAGCGGTCGCAAAGTTTTTAGGTTCTCGATTTTCCCCGACGACGTCCCCGAACCAAAAGCCCGGGTAATGCTACGGCACCGCGCCACCCTCCACCACTAGCCACCTTTGACGTCATTTCGGCATAACGCATCCGTGTTCCCGTTCTAGTCAGCCGAGCAAGAAACAAAGCGACTTCGTCCCGGTCTCGCTCAAACGCACCACCTTCTGGAGTAGCTCGCTCGCGCTTGTCGAATTGCAAAGGACGAACGAGGAGGGATCGCAGCACGAGCTTCACCATAATCCAGTGAACCTAGCCGCATCGACGCCATGTAGCTTTTAGTCTCTGCTGACTATTTTGGATGAGATGAGCCAATCTCGTTTTTTAATAGCCAATTGCCCCAAATAGCTGTTTTTGTTTTTCAAAGAATTTTAAAATACAATTGGAAATTGTGATGTAAAAAGTACCAATTGCATTATAGTCAGGAGCGATTACATTATCAGTGGGACAATTTCAATAAAGTATTAATGAGAGACCCAATACGTGCGAAAGGTAAAAAGTAAGAATTATAAAAGAATTTGGCATTTTCTGGAATTTGCATTGACAGTAAATAGTATAGATGAATATCGTAGAGGATTGGATGATCGAATTGCTTATTGAATGATCTCAATTATAGGATTAAATGCAGCTAATTGTGACTTATTTTAATTTGTTAAATAAACACAATTGAGGTGAGGAACGAGTCACTCGGGATAATTTATTCATCGTTTTAAGCATTGTGGAATATCATGAGGACGCTAATGCTTGGAATCGCTTGATTATATTTTTAAAGTCAACGTGTTCTTTGTACTTCAACATGTTGTTAGTCATTCTAAACTAATTTCCTCTTAATATTGTATAGGGAATTGAAGTTTGCAGCTACACGAGAGATTATTTTAACAAAGTTCGACCGTACAGTTTCGAAATGGCTTTTCATCAACCCTTTAATCGCGTATCCTGTATGCTTGTACGCTTATCTAGTATTATCTGAAGTTTGTCTTAGTAACATGCTTTTTCTTACATTTTTTTTCCACGAAGCATTAATATTGAAAAATATAATCTTTCTTTTTCAAAATTAATTACTAAAGTTATGAAAGTAAACGGAGTAAACATTTATTACATATCGAACGAAAATATAGAATTTGCATTTTCATCGTATCACTACTATGATTCATAAACATACATTTACAGATTAGAAAGTAATATACTCTAGAAATATTCAGCAAGATTTTTTTAAATGAAATATATGATAATAAAATTGATTTTATCGTTTTAATACGTTTTTTTTTTTTTTTTTTTTTTTTAACATTACTACGCGTTCGTTAAAAATAAGAGCCGCCCGAGTGTTAATAATGAGATTGTAGATTATTTCAGAGATTTAATTATAATTCAACAATTTTCTATTTTTATAATATGTTCGGATCTAAAAGAATCTAAAAGTAACGATTTTATTCGTTAATCCAGATTGAACTATGTAATATTTTTAATGAAACACATTATTTTTCTTTGCGATTGTCTTTATTTACTTATTTATTTTAATTTTTATTATGTTTTTTTTATTTATTATAATTATACCGTCAAAATCATCTTTTGAAAAATTAAAACTCTATTAATGAAAATAATAATTAATAAAATTAATTAAAATTCTTTTCTTCATACATTAATTTTTTATTTTAACGAAGAGCAAACGATAAGTATATTCAAAACAGTTATAATAACAAACGAAAAAACGAATTATAAAATACCACTAATTTTAAATTGACGTAAAATTATATTAAAAACTTATTTAATTTATTAATTTAATGCTCGTAAGATTTGTATAACGAATAGAAACTTGATTATTACTCAAAATATGTTTTAAATGCTGAATGTCGAATGAAGCTCAAAAATATAATAAAAAGATTAATTTTCCTTTTAAACTTTCTTAGTGAGGATACAAAAAATTAATTAAAAACCGCATAATACTTTGTTAAAATAATGAAAAATGTTACGTTTTTTAAAAATCATGAGTATGATGAAATTAGCACACAATTTTTGTAAAATACTCGTTTGAAGAAAAAATTTTTATTTGTTTAAAGTTTTTAACGTAGATTTTATTTTATGTAAGATACTTATTGTAATTATGAGTTATGCTTCAGTTCTTCAACAAATAATACGTTTTGGAAAAAATATACATAATTATTGACTGACGTATTCTAGAAATTAGTGCATTACATAAAAATAATTAAATTATTTTATAAATTTACATTTGTATAAATACAAGAGTCAATTTTTACACACCCAATTATACGAATAACCGACTTTATTTAAACAATAAGAATATTCGTCTAGAAAATATTTATCTTTCTTTTATATTTAAGGAATGTTTGAATATTTATATAATCCTTATACGTATTAAAATTATTACAATAAAAAAAAATTAGATTTCTTGAGGCGTGACATAATAATATCTTAAACGCATAGTGAAGCAAAACAAGAAGTTAAAAAATGTAAAATTTACAATTTAAAAAATATATTGTTTTACATTCACGAGTATATATATATGCATTAAATATTAATCTGTACGATCCATATAATCATTGATTTTATATAGAATTATTTTATATAGAATATAATTTAAATAGAATTTATTGATATTGAGTTAAACACAGAAATTATAGAATTTAGAAGTAAAGAGTTTCATAAAAAAGAAATAAAGTAAAAAACTTTCTTCATCAATTACGGTAGATGCATCATTGTATAAATCATGCAACAATATAATTTTTAATTCGAATCTCACATTTACGTGGAAAGTTAATTATTCTGAACCTATAAAAGACTTGGTATATTAAGTTCGTTACGCGTTGCCAGTAATTAAACGCTATTAACAAGCAGCAATAATTTTGTCTTAAAGAAATTATACATTGCATTAAGTAATATTTAAATTTAAAATATTTAATCCTAAAAGCATAAAATACTTTTTTATCGTGAAAGCGCCCGTTTCTTCACTGCAAATAATTCGTAAAGTAAGCAATGGTAGAGAAAGAGTAAAGTACATTTTTGTTTGCAGGTATTGTGTTTACCGTGATTGAAAGATGGAATGAGGTAACGGCATTACGAGAGGAAGACTTTTCACTCAAAATCGATCGTATTAAGCTTCTCGTGAGAATATTCAGATAAGGAACAAGTCCTATCCATTGTTCATTACTTTTATACTTAACATATTGGTTATTGTAATTGGCACTTACAAATAAAAGCTGACTTTTCGTTATTTATTCACAACTTTGAAGTATTATCAATTTGTTTAATTATTTACGTAACTTAAGCTGGATGCGTCGTATGTATAAGAAATAAGAAGGAAAATTAGGACGTAATGAATGCTATTTTATAAATTTATTTAATACTTTCTCATTTTCACTGGTTTCAATTATTCGACAGAATATGTAAAAAATTAAAACATACTGATTTAACAAAATTTGTAATAATTTTTTGTAACATAGATAATAATTGATGATTTTGCTTTCAACTTATGCATTAATATTAAAAATGATAGTTTTCGTCATTATTTATTTGGTAGGAAGTTATTAGATATTTTTAAGTAAAATCTCATCAACATGCCCATAAATTATCAACAATCATTAATTAAGATAATAATAAAGAAATCGGAATTCTTATACATACACATAAAAGCTAAATTCAATCTATACGTTTTTGAAGAAGAAAAAAGTTATATATGATTTAACTATAAATTCACAATAACAAACTTCTATTTATTTATTAACAAAAAAAAAAATAAATAAATAAAGACTTCCGCTATATTACATCATTTTTATAATAAATATATTGAATTGAAATACGAATCTATAATTATTAAAATGAATTCTTTAAATAAAGAAGAACCAATAGACTACGGAAAGAGAGAAAATTAAATTTTTTCTTTTTTAATGACTGAATCTGTTTTTAGTTTTACACTATTATTATCCATTAACGCTCATGGGATTTCTATTTTTTACAGGAATATATTTGATAAATTAGAGAGAAAAAAATATGTTTGTAAAACTACAACTTTCAAAGTATTTTTTCATATTTCATACGAACAAATATATCTATTTGAATCATATTCAATTTCACAAATTTTCTATTAAATTAAAAATATCCCGCATTATTTAATAATATTTCACATAGGAAGAATTAATTATAATTATTAAAATTAATGAAAATAAAGCTAAATTTATTCAAAATAAATTATTACGTGCACAATAAGCAAGCCGAAAGAAATGCAAAATATTTTCTTATAAATTATTAATTCAGTGGCATAAATTAGAAAACATCTACAAAATAATATCGAATACTGATTTAATATTTTATCAAGTCCACCAATTCTTTGGCATCGCTATCTTCCAATTAATTACGATACAAACTCCTGCGAAGTTCCGCTAAACGTGAAATTACCAACCTTATGCTTAGAAATACATATTTCATATATCCGATTTGTCATAGATAATCATTTAATAATGTACATTTTTCTCCATACTAATGCTGTTCCATTATATTTATTAAAAGTAACGATATTCTGGAACTATATTTCTTATGAAATAGAAATAATTTATTCAAAATTTCATCGAAATCAGACTAAAATTTCTAATTTATGTCCGTAAACATAAAGAAAATTATATAAACAAATATATACATAATTGATAATATCCTTATTTTATTAAGC